ACATTGAATCAGAGGAAATATTCCAAGTAATATTTACTAAAGACTTTCAATAATATTTTTAAAAAGGCGATTTTAAACAGTGATAAACTAAAAAATAACGAATATAAAAAATATAATATAATAGAAAAATATAACAAGTATAAAATAAATAAGTATAAATGAAAATAGAAATAGAAATATAAAATATATAAATATGTATATAAATATATATTATAAAATAAATAAATATATGAATAGATTTAAAAACATAATAAATAAATAAACAATAAAAATAACAATTAAATAACAATAAAACAACAAATAGTCAATAATTAAATAATAATCAATAAAAAATTGAAAAATAAATTAATCTTGTACGGAATGGAAGAGATTCGGGTTTGCGTCCTGGCCGCGGTAATATTTTTCGCAATAAGAATGATTTAAAGATTTTAATATGTCACTCAGCGTAATTAAGATCGTTTCGAAGATGCAGAAAAAGCATCAAAAAATTATTAAAATTGCTAGTCAATTTTAACTCATGGTATTACTGCGGAAACTTAGTAAAATTAGCGTTTCAAGACCGAAAAATTATTTCGGCGCGCGTTTCAAAAGAACTACATACATAGTATATAAATTCACACAGAATCATAGAAGCATTTAAGATCTCTCTAGCTAGACTGTTAAGGCTTTGATTACTACAGTTTGTGTTATCACACATATACGGTCCTATAATCTATATATATAAAAATGAATGTATGTCTGTATGTCTGTCTGTATGTATGTCTGTTCCTATGCATTGCTGCACCATTGATCCGATCGCCATGAAACTTTGGGAAGTTGTTCATTGTAAGCCGGGCCAGGTTTCTAGCCACAGATCTGCGCCGCCGTCCAATCACAGCGGCGGGGCCGTCCAACTATAGCGGCGGCGGTGTGGTAAATAAGAAGCTAATTGTGGTTATTAAAACATTTTTACAAAAATCATTCGACATCGAAATTAAGAGAATTTTCCGTACGTTTATGTGTATTTTATCGTGAGTTGAAATTTAATCTATATATATAAAAATGCATGTATTTTTTATGTCTGTGTATGTGTTTGTTTTTTATGCATTACTACACCATTTATTCAATCGCCATGAAGCTTTGGGAAGTTGTTCGTTGTAAGCCGGTGCCGGGCCAGATTTTTATAGATTGCTATAGATTGACGGCGCAGTGAACTTATTATATGGGATGAATGCACAATGGCCCATAAAAAAGCATTTGAAACACTTGATCGTACACTGAAAGATTTGAAGGGAAATGGACAGCCCTTTGGTGGAGCACTCATTTTATTGTCTGGTGATTTTCGACAAACTTTGCCAGTTATACCACGATCAACCGCTGATGAACTTAATGCATGTCTCAAATCATTAATTTTATGGCGACATGTAAATAAATTGACTCTGGAAACCAATATGCGTGTTCAACTACAAAATGATGCATCCGCCGAATTTTTTGCAAAACAATTGCTGGATATTGGGAATGGGAAAATGGTAATCGACAGATATACACAATGTATCACATTGCCAACAAACTTTTGTAAAATGACATCAACCAAAGACGAATTGATTCAAAAGGTTTTCCCAAACATCGCGCAGAATTACAAAAATCATCAGTGGCTCAGTGAACGTGCTATATTAACAGCTACGAACAACGATGTCAATGCCATCAATTTCAGTATTCAAAACGGAATACCAGGCGAAGCGACAACGTATAAGTCCATCGATAGTGTGATGAATCAAGACGAAGTTGTCAATTATCCAACGGAATTTTTGAATTCACTCGATTTACCGGGTATGCCACCGCACCTTTTAATATTGAAAATTGGCGTGCCTGTCATTCTACTCCGAAACATCAATCCACCACGACTTTGCAATGGTACAAGACTCTCGGTGAAAAAGATTGTAACGATGCACCCCCATAAATGCATCGTTCCCGGCAATGCCAACTCGCCGGATGCCGCTACGGTGACCCTCGGTCACCGTACGCGATGAGAGCGCGGTGCGCTCGACATTTTATAAGACAAACATAATTGTAGGCCGCGTGAACTCGCAAGTCCGCGAAACCCGAGCGTCGCCGAACGACGCCGAGCGCCGCATCTCTCGCTCGTATTGTTCCACGCCGAGAGTCACCGAATGATTCCGGAACAATACGAGCGGGAGCAACAATT